TTGCGGCCCCTGTCAAAATCACAGCTGTCTGGTGAGTTGATTCTAAAAGTCATGGGAAATTCAAGGGGCCCAGAGTGACCTAAACAACCTGGAAAAGGAAGAACAAGGTTGGAGGAGACTCACACTTCCAGATTTCACTTACTGCAAAGCTACGGTAGTGAAGATAGCGTTATTCTGGCGTAAAGATAGGCATCTAGCCAGGTGTGGTGCTTCATGCCTGTAATCCCGACACTGGAAGGCTGAGGTGGGAGGGATCACTTGAGCCTAGGAGTTCAAGACCAGCCAGGACAATGTAGTGAGACCCTGTCTCTTAAAAGAATGAAAAATTGTCTAGATATGGTGGTGCACGCCTATAGCCCCAGCTACTCGGAGGCTGAGGTGGGAGGATCACTTGAGTTCAGGAGGTTGAGACTGCAGTGAGCTGAGATTGCACCGTCGTACTCCAGCCAGGGTGGCAGAGTGAGATTCTGTCCAAAAAAAAAAGATAGGCATCTAGCTCAATGGAATGGAGAGTCCAGAAGTCAACCTTTGCATATATATTAATATATATATACGATTGAGTTTTGACATGGGCACCAACACTTTTCAATGGGGAAAGAATAGTGTTTTCAACAGATAGCGCTGGGACAACTGGATATCCACATACAAAATAATGAAGTTGGATTTCTACTTCACATCGTATACAAAAATTAATTCAAATTGGATGAGAGAGCTAAATATAATAGCAAATACTGCAAAACTCTTAGAAGACAACGTAAAAGTAATCTTTGTGACCTTGGTTTAGACCATGATTTGCTACATCTGATACAAAAAGCACAAGAGACCAAAGGAAAAACAGATAATGTGGATTTCAGCAAAATTAAAAACTTTGGTGCTTCAAAAGACACTATCAATTAAGTGAAAAATGACCACTCACAGAATGGGAGAGAACATTTGCAAAGTATATATCTAATAAAGAACTTATATCCAGAATAGATAAAGAACTCCTACAACTCAGTAATAAAAAGACAAATAATTCAGCCATCATATGGGCATGTCTCTAAAAAAGATGCACGAATGGCCAAAAAACACATGACAAGGTGCTCAACATAATTAGTCATTAGGGAAATGCAAATGAGAATCACAGTGAGATACCACTTCTAGGATGTCTGTAACAATCAACAGACAATAATAGAATCTTAGACATTGCTTGCAGGAATGTAAAATAGTGCAGTTGCTTTGGAAAACTGTTCAGCAGTTTCTTAAAATATTAGACATAGATTTACTACATGGTCCAGAAATTTCACTCTTAGGTGTATACAGAAGATAATCAAAAATATATGTAGACCAGATGCGGTGGTTCATGTCTGTAATGCCGGCACTTTAGGAGACCGAGGCAGGTGTATCCTTTGAGCCCAGGAGTTCGAGAGCAGCCTGGGCAATGTGGTGGAACCCCATCTCTGCCAAAAAAAAAAAGAAAATTAGCTGGGTATGGTGGTGCATGCCTGTGCCTGTAGTCCCGGCTACTCATGAGGCTGAGGTGGGAGAATGGCTTGAGCCCAGGAGGTCAGGGTTACAGTGAGCCATGATTGTGCCACTGCACTCCAGCCTGGGTGACAGAGTGAGACCCTGTCTCAAAGAAAAGAAAGAAAAAAAAATATATTTAGACCCTGAAACTTATGTACACATTTTTTATTCATAGCAGCCAACAAGTGGAAACAGCTCTAATATCTCATCAATTGATGAGTGGCCAAAGTAAAGACGGTTTGCTTATGATGACATATTATGTGGCAATAATAAGGAATGAAGTTCTCAGCCAGGCTCAGTGGTGCATACGTGTAGTGCAGCTACTTGGGAGGCTGAAGTGGGAGGTTTGCTTGAGACCAGGAGTTTGAGACCAGCCTGGGAACCATAGAGAGACTCTGTCTCTCTTCATAGATATAAAATAATAAAAAAAAGGAAGGAAGTTCTGATACATGATATGACATGAGTATACCTGACAACCTTGTCCTAAGTGAAAGAAGTCAGACCCATAATGCCGTATATTGTATGATTGCATTTATATCAAGTGTCCAGAATAGACAATTCCATAGAGACAGAAAGTGTATTGGACAGAAACCAGGGGCTGAGAAAAGCTGAAATAGGGAGTGGCTGCTTATGGATACAGAGTTTTTTGGGGGGAGTAATAAAAATGTTCTGGAATTAGATAGTAGTGATAGTTGTACAGTTTTGTGAATATACTAAAAATGACTGAATCTTAAAAGGTGGAACCATGAAAAGACCTACCGCGTTCCTTACTGAAAGAAAGAAAATGTCAATATTCCACCCTAGGAAGACGGCTCTTTATTGTTTTTAGCTATCGTCTTTTTCAATTCATTGTTTGAGAAGTCGCTTCCTTTTCAGATGTAAGCAAGCTACAGTTTATTAGTTCTGTCTTCCGTAGAAGGTATTATAAATACTATCACAGAGAAGTGCTTGTTAGATTCCATCAACACTTGATTCGAATGTAATTTTAAAAATATATTTCAGGGCAGGCATGGTGGCTCACGCGTGTAATCCCAAGGCCAAGGCAGGAGGATCATCTGAGGCCAGGAGTTTGAAACCAGCCTGGGCAACATAGTGAGACCCCATCTCTACAAAAAATAAAAACGTTAGCAGGACATGATGGTGCACACCTGTGGTCCCAGCTCCCTGAGAGGCTGGCGTGGGAGGATCACTTGAGCGGAGGAGTTTGAGGCTGCAGTGAACTATGATCGTACTACTGCACTGCAGTCTGGATGATAGAGTAAGACCCTGTCTTTAAAAAAGAAAAAAAAAGTGTATATATTCAAATTATTTTACAACATGGAATATGAAGCAACATATACTCTCAGATGTATTGCTATTTAACACACTGGGGGATACCGTGTGTTAAATAGCAATACATCTATGATTAGTAATTGCATCAGTAATTAATAATTGTCAGTTATTAGGATAACTGATGTTTCCAAGTTACCTCATTTAGTGCATGCCTTGGAAATCAATTTTTTTTTTTTTTTGGAGATGGAGTCTTAATCTGTCGTTCAGGTTGGACTACCGTGGTGCAATCTTGGCTCACTGCAACCTCTGCTTCCCAGGTTTAAATGATTCTCGTGCCTCAGCCTCTCAAGTAGCTGGGATTACAGGCAGAATCAAGTCTTTTTTCCTTTTTTTCAGCCATTTCAGTGTACATATTACAGACATTTATCAAATATTTCACAAAATAGGAAGGTTGTAACTCTGCAGTAGTTTAAAAATGGTCACAATGGCCAGGCATGATGGCTCATGGCTGTAATGCCAGCACTTTGGGAGGCAGAGGCGGGTGGATCATGAGGTCGAGATCAAGACCATCCTGGCCAACATGATGAAACCCCATCTCTACTAAAAAAAACCCACAAAAATTAGCTGGGCGTGGTGGCACGCACCTGTAGTCCCAGCTACTCTGGAGACGGGTAGGAGAATCGCTTGAACCCAGGAGGTAGAGGTTGCAGTGAACTGAGATCGTAACACTGCACTCCAGCCTGGAAACAGAGTGATACTCCATCTCAATAAATAAAATAAAATAAAATAAATAAAAATGGTAACAACTAATGTCCTCTTTCATAAAGTAGAAGTGAGTACACTGTATTTCCAGCATAGATGAGGGTTTTCATGATACAAAGTAACCAAAACTAAGTTCAGGAGAAGACTGGATACTGGGACTGATAGGACTATAACTGCTCTCCGTAAACCCCCAATTTAAAGTTTTGGTTTGTCAGAATGTCCCCATCTTCAGTTCTCACTGGCTATCATTTTAACAAGAAAATATTATAAATTTGGTTCAATATAGTGAATATATACAAATTAAATACTGTTTACTTCATATATTATGGTTCTTCATAAGATGCCACTAAAATTTTATGCAGGTGGTGATCTTACTAATATATAGAATCTAAAATGTTGAACTCTTGGAAGCAGAAACTAGAATGATAGTTACCAGGGACTGGCAGGTGGTGGGATTGGGGAGGTGTTGGTCAAAGGATACAAAATTGTAGATAGATAGGAGGAATAAATTCAGGAGGTCTGTTGTAGAACATGGTGACTATAGTTAATAACGATGTATTGTAAACCTGAAAATTGCTAGAAGAGTAAGTAGGTTTCAAGTGTTTTCACTACACACCAAAAATCTGAGGTAAAGTCCTGGTATGTTGTTGTTAATTAGCTTGATTTAGCTACTCTACAAGTGTATGTATATATTAAATGCATACATATACACTCATGTTGTATAATATATATATAAAGTTTATATATATAAACATACATGTGTATATATATAAACAAACTATTGTCAATTGAGAAAATAAATGAAATGAGAACAATGAATTTTCTGTAGTTGGGATCCTGGAAATCTTGATCAGCGCAGTAAGTTTCTCATTCCATGTTGGCTTCATTCTTATTTTTCAGGGATGTTTTGAAAGCATTTTTTCCCTCCACAGAAACCCAACAATGAAGGGCAGACTTCTGGCAGAAAAAAATACTGACTGAGTGTAAATAGATGCTGAGTGTTTTGCAGAGGCTGTCTCAGAGACTGCACTGCACAGATATTGCTGGCTGGGTCATAGGGCTCTTTAGTGCTATGTCCAATGTAAATATTTTAGTTGCTGTTTTATAAGTGGTATTTGGAAGGTGGTACATATCCTTATTGTAATCTCTTTTTGCAGATGAAGCAACTGAGTTACTGAATCCTCACGTATGGGACACCAGAAGCAAAGTTAAATAGGGCAGGTGTCATTAGACTGCCCTCTATGCTGAAAGCTTTGTGGTTATACTCATGTAGGCTGAGTAGAAGGGGTCACTGCAGTGTCATGAGAAGTATGTGTTACAGGGTGGTGGGAGGACAGATATAATGCAGCAATCAAGTGAATAAGTATTACTGAGTGCCTAATCTGTGTGAATATGCATCGTTACCTCCTGGGCCCTGTCTTTCTACAACAAATCATGCGTCCATTGTGTTCTTTTCACAGGTGATCATGGAGGAAGCACTTTACTCCCACCAAATGTCACAAATGAATTTCCAGAATATGGAACCATGGAGGAAGGTGGAGATGGCCTAAGGGCTTCTCTGGAGTTTGATGGTGAGACTCTGCCATGCCACCCGCAAGAGCAGCATGGTGTCCAGCCTCTTACTGGCTGCCACTCTGGGCTCGACAGTGTTACAGAAGGACCAAAAGATGTCAGAGAGGCCCCCTCTCAAAGTCACCTCAAGGAACAAAGTTTACAGCCCATTGACTCTTTGATTTCAGCTCTGAAAGCCACAGAAGCCAGAATCATTTCCGGAACATTACAGGCTACAAAGGTACTGGACCAAGATGCTGTTTCTCGTTTTTCAGTTCAGCAGGTGGAAAAAGAGCTGGACACTGCCAGTCATAAAACACAGAGAGTCAACAAACTGCTCCCTGCTGGCCAAAAAAAAGCACCAGAAATACCTCTTTCAGCCGAAGTAACGACGGAGGAAAGTTTTTATTTGAGCATCCAGAAGGATCTGACCGCGCTGTTAACTGGAGACACTCAGGCAGAGCTTTCCCAGATAATGAATAATGGGAGGAAGGGGGCTGTCTGTGTGCAGGAGCCATCTTGTCCTGTGGCCTCCCTCGGGAGCTCAGCGGTGACCTGCCACTCGGCAGGCAGTGTTGGTTTCTTAAAAGAGCAGAGGTCTGCTCTTGGGAGAGAGCACCCAGGGGGATGTGATCAAAGCAGCTCCATGGGACGCCCAGGCCGGGTCAAACATGTGGAATTTCAAGGAGTGGAGATACTGTGGACAGGAGGAGATAAGAGAGAGACCCAGCATCCTGTAGATTCTGAGACATCACTGCAAAGAACAGCCTCTCCTGAAAGCAAGGAGTTTTCCAAAGTGCCATGCCGTCTCATCTCATCAGCTGGTTTGTGTCATTCAAGTCGTTTAACTGACCATGTTTGGGATGAGTCCTGGAAAGCTCCTTCAGAGAGGCCTGGCACTAGCTCGGGGACATTTTCCCCTGTGCGTCTTGATGAGAGTGGAGAGGATGAAGTCTTCCTAAAGGAAAACAAACAGCGTCTTGAGAAGACACCTGAACCAGAGAGAGACAAGGAAAGGTGAGCTCCCAGAGTAGCTGTCTGAGATGCCTGGTACTTATCATAGAAAACCGTTACCCTGTGCTTGATAGGAGAACTCAATCACAAAACGTTGGGTCCTTGTTATCATAGAATATAAGAGGAGCTACTATAAGCTAGGTCCTTCTAAGCTAAGATTCCTCCTAAGCTTCTCAGATATTAAAGTGATCTCGTTATAAAGTCATCCATTAGGCATGGACCAGGGAAACAGAGTTCTGAACAGACTGTGAACACTACACTGTGAATTCTTTTCTGACATTTTCTTGACATTTGACAGATTTCAAGTTTTCCAACATCAAGGTAACTAACATACCCCACCGTAATCTTTAGTAATATGAAAAGGTTTGGACTCTTTTGACACACCCTATGTAGCTGGTACTTCCAACCTTGGCATTTCTTCTGGGTATAACACCAATGCCTTCAGTCCAGCCTACATACATGTATGTACACAGAGGTTCTGGGTCCACTCAATTTCCTTTGTTTGTTTGTTTATTTATTTATACAGAGACAGGGTCTCGTTCTGTCGGCTGGAGTACAGTGGTGTGATTATGGCTCACTGCAGCCTTGACCTTCCAGGCTCAAGAGATCCTCCCATCTCAGCCCTCTGAGTAGCTGGGAGTACAGATGTGCGCCTCCATGCCTGGCCAACTGTTGTCTTCTTTGTAGAGATGGGGTCCCACTGTGTTGCCCAGGCTGTTTCAAACTCCTGGCATGAAATGATCCTCCCACCTTGGCCTCCCTAAATGGTGGGATTACAGGCGTGAGCCACTGTGTTGGCCCCTTCCTATGTTTAGAAATGACATCTCAGGGGTTCAGAAGTGGATTTTATAATTCAGTTTATCCTTGGTATTCACATGGGAATTTCTTCTTCTCACAAGTAGCATATATTTTGATTTATAGCTTTTATTATTATTATTTTAATTATGCTTTAAGTTCTGGGCTACATGTGCAGAACGTGCAGGTTTGTTACATAGGTATACATGTGCCATGGTGGTTTGCTGCACCCATCAACCCGTCATCTACATTAGGTATTTCTCCTAATGCTATCCCTCCTCTTGCCCCCCACCCCCCTGACAGGGCCCGGTGGGTGATACTCTCCTCCCTGTGCCCGTATGTTCTCATTGTTTAACTCCCACTTATGAGATTTATGGCCTTTTTGAGTGAAACTTGGCGTCATGTGGTATTTCCTGGTCTTTCTCTGCATTTCTGACATCTACACTAGCTTAGACTCTGGATAAATGGCAGACATGACCCATCTTTCTCCACTCCCTTCGATCGTAGTCATTTGTTGTGTACTGTACCTCTAATTGGTACCATCTTTTCTTCTGTCAGTCGTCATGACACCATGTTTTATAGTTTATACAGGAGAGCATCTGTGTCAAAGCCGAGGGTTGTTTCTTGTTTTCTTGTTCGGTGTAAGGAAATGCCTTTTCCTCTGCAGTTAACAAACCCATTGAGAGTGTTGCTCCTTTGGGATCACTGGCAGGATCCTTCCCACTCCCCTCCCCAACCCATCAGCTCTCCAGACTTCCCTCCAAAGCGGCCTTGATATGTGGCATGTGGCCCAGTGTTTATATTCCCACTGGAATATATACTTTTACTGTTGTTCAGATTAATAATTCATTCCTCTTTTCTTCCCACAAATATTTTTCGGTTGTCTCCTATGTCCTGACACTGCAAGATGCTGGGCATAAAAGAATGTTCAAAATAGATGCGGCTCACGGTTACTGTCCTCATGGAATTTATTGCTGAAGATAAACATTGATCACATAAACATGCTAATAGGTCTAGGATCACAAAGTGTGCTAGGTTCTGTGAAGGAAAAGAGCAGAGACCTACGAGAAAGAATAATTTGGATGGAGGGGAGAGGCCAGTTCAGTTGATGGCTTGGACAAAGCTTTTCTGTGGAAATGGAAATTAAACTGAGACGTGAGGAAGGAATGAGTTTGCCAGGCAGAGAAGGGATAGGAAGAATATTCCAGGCAGAGGGAACAGCATGTGCACAGGAGGCTGCTGAGCTCCCTGACTAGTGTGTGCTTCCTGCAGATGTGTGAAGCCAAGGCCTGTGCCAGGCTTGAAGATTTGAAACTCAACCTGTGTGGCTGATGCCTGAAGAGCAGGGGAGGCTGGGCATGGGGGCTCACACCTGTAATCCCAGCACTTTCGGAGGCCGAGGCGGGTGGATCACCCGAGGTCGGGAGTTCGAGACCAGCCTGGCCAACATGGTGAAACCCCGTCTCTGCTAAAAATACAAAACTTAGCCAGGCGTTGTGTTACGTGCCTGTAATCCCAGCTACTTGAGAGGCTGAGGCAGGAGAGTCACTTGAACCTGGGAGGCGGAAGCTGCAGTAAGCTGAGATTGCACCAACACACCCCAGCCTGGGTGACAGAGTTAGACTGCATCTCAAAAAAAAGAGCAGGGGAGAATGGGGTGCAGTGAGTGTGGAGAGGTGGAGAGGAGCATCATCTTAGGAACGGTCCAGTTTATGCCAAATGCAGTGGGAAGCCATTAAGAACATAGCATTTAGTCCATGGCTGACCTTCAGTATTTAAAAACAGCAAACCAGTTGCAATGTTGAATGTGGATTACTTATGAGATGCTTAATAGATAATTCCTATTTCTATTTTATTCCTATTTGTAGGAATCTGAGGCTCAGAGAGGTTAAGTAAAGTTGCTTCAAGTGATATAGCTGGTAATTGAGATAGCCAAAGTTCAGCTTCCGGTTTTTCTAACTCTTGACCTCTTGCTCTTCCTAGTTATCTATCTCCCAAGTTTTTTTTACTTAGTTATCCTAATGTTCATTTTTAATATTTGAAGAACATGCTGCATATTAATTGTTCACATTTGTGTGCCGAATTGAATGCCCCACCCTGTATATTGACTTTTGAGCTGTTTCTAATATCTCAAGGCTTTGGTTAGCCTTGGCTTCTGTTGGCTTTTGTTAGGCTGTTCGTTGGCTATCTAATTTTGGACCTGAAATCTCTCTGCAGTGCTGCTGTGTTGTCAGCAGGGGGCAGCTCTTGGCTTCTGATGTAGTCATCTGCTTGAGAGCATTTGGCCTTATTTAAATCAGAAAGTATTAATCAACTGATGAAAGTTTGGTGTATTTTTACCGAAATTTTGCCGTATCAAGTTTACATGATATCTGATTCCGTTATAATTAGGAATGCTGGTAGTTGCAAATAATCTCAATGTGCACGGTATAGTTGGCTAAAATGAGAATTGAATATTTTATTCACATATTCATTGGACCAGATGTATTCACACATTAGGAAGCTAGTTTGAAACTTTATTAAATTATTTATAGTGTCCTAGCCACATATATGGTGAGACTTTTTCAACCTGATTATGTTTCATAGCTTCCTTCCCAAATATGTTAAGATATAAGTCAATGAATAGAAGAGTTAGATCTTCAGAACGTTGTCCTTTTTATATGATTGAAGGGGGAAAAATAAAGACATTAACCTAATCTTGGAATTCCTCACTCTTATTTACTTTCCAGGATCACTGAACAAGAGGAGCACGTTAAGGGGGAAGATGAAGACATCCTCGGGCCTGGATATACGGAGGACTCCACTGATGTGTACAGCTCCCAGTTTGAAACCATTTTGGACAACACTTCTTTATACTACAGTGCGGAGTCCCTGGAGACATTATACTCAGAGCCTGATAGCTATTTTAGCTTTGAAATGCCCCTCACTCCAATGATACAACAGCGCATTAAAGAAGGTGGTCAGTTCTTGGAGAGGACATCAGGGGGAGGACATCAGGATATCCTGAGTGTGTCAGCAGATGGTGGAATCGTGATGGGCTATTCTAGTGGGGTCACCAATGGGCTGAATGATGCCAACGACTCCATCTACACGAAAGGCACCCCAGAGATTGCTTTCTGGGGAAGGTACTCGTCCCATTCTCATACATTTCATACTGGTGGTTTTTGTAGGATTTTTTCTTTGGGAAATCTGAGTGTGGAATATATTTTTAAATCATTTGGCCAATTTCTGTGGATATAAGCCAATGATGTGAGTAAAAAGTAATTTGAGTTTTAGGGTAGGAAGGACACACCTTAGTGGTTTGTCAGATTGGCAAACTGTGATCATTTTAGTCTGTGGTATTTCCTGGATGACTATAAATTGGATACCAAACAAATATTGGGGGATGATGAGTGAGATATCAGCTCCGACAATGGCAGCGACGTGGTGCTGTGAAAAGAACACTGAGAGATCGTAGCTTTAGTTTGGCACTGAGGGTGGTTGATGACTTCAAGAAGGTTATTTGATTAGCTCAGAGATTCCTTCATTGGAAACTAAAGCGGTGGACTATGCAGTCAGCAAAGTCTCTGCCAGTCCTTTGCTCTGAGAGGTCCTATTCTGTCCTCCTGTTCCAGACATGTTGAAGGAAGGATCCAATTAGACAGATGCTTGAGAGAGCTGATACCTTGGTCTAGGCTGTGTATTTATTTTCTCTCTCTCCTTTAGGATTTTAGTCTATCTGGGAGATAAAATGACACATTTTGTACGTTGTATGCACCTTGCCTGTCATCTGGGGATTCCACATCTATTTATGGATTACCCAGCATTTCATTTCTTCATGCTCGTCATCCTCAGGTTATCTACCTGTGACAATTTTATGAATTTTGTTTTGATATATTTTTGTGTGTGTGTGTATATGTGTGTGTGTGTGTGTGTGTATGTGTGTGTATGTGTTTGTATGGAGCTGGTGGGGGGTGTTAAATGGTGATCAACTATTTTAAAACTGTTGAAAGCTATATGAAATAATACCAGTGCTTTTTGTTTAAAAAAAAAAAAAGCTAGTAATACAGGTTTTCAATGCACCTCTCTTTTTGGGCAGTCTGTCCTGTGCTGAGCATTTTCTATAACCAGTTTGAAGGTTAATAGTTCATTGGATGAGCAAATTCAGGATTGGCACCTTGTGACACTGTAGCAATGCATTTCCTTGTGAAAACGGATTGTGGATATCGGTTGTCTTACTGGGTTACAGTGAGAATAAAAAGAACAAGGTGTCAAAACCACAAGATTTTGGTCTGAATTACTTGGGCAAGCCACTTATTTTCTCTGAAAGTTGATTTATTTATTTATGAAATGGCGTTAACGATCCAGTGTGTTGTGAGGCCGTGAGATTTAAAGGGTTAATAGAGACTAAAGCACCTCACACAGGACATGGTACAAAGCAGAGCCTGGGTAAATGTGTGCATATGAACTGGTTGCCTGGTTAGTCCACATCTAGACTTCCTGTGTCTCTGAGATCAGAATGTCTGTCAGTGGAAGAGTCCTGGGGAGGAAGCATCCCTGAAAACAGCGTCCCCGCAAGGGGGTGCTCCTCGGCAGAGGGTGCCACTTTAGTCCTCCCCTTTCAACATCATCTCTGAGGACTGCAAATTGCGATAAAATGCTGTAGGAAAGGTTTGCAGATAATTTCATGGAAATCCCAACTCAGTTTTCTAGGGTGAGTGGAAGTTGTTTCTATTACAGACCAAACATGGTTTGGGGAACTGAACAGTTTTGGGCCGAGAGGCTTCACTGCAGAAGCCACAGGGAGTGGTCGTAAGTGAAGCCAGGAGATGAACATCAGTGAAGGAATTGGGTGAAAGGTTTGTTAAATGTGCGGCTTGTGCACTTAGAACGGGAGGTTGTCATCGTTTGGGCCAGCATGGGTGCCAGTCACGAGGATGGACAGAGTTAAATAGTTGGGAGAGAGTATTGGAGTAGGTTATAGTGTTTTAGCATCTCAGATTTAAACAGTGGTATCCTTCAGGCCGTGTTGAGATAAAGTTTCAGCGGTGTCCCTTCATTGTCAAACCAGGAGATCTTGTCTAGTAGTAAAGGACCACATTCTAGTGCTGAGTGACAAGCACCTTGGTGACGTGCCAGCTCACCTCTCCCCGAGCCCGGGCACTCCTCCTGTACAATTCCTGACGGTGGTCATCCTACCGTGCGCTGAGCACTGCCAGTGGCTTGGACAGACAAGCTTGGCGGGACCCCCCGTTTTGTGTTATTTGAGGTTGGCATATGATAATACGTGGTTATAGGTAGAGGAAGCTTTATTTTCTGATGTATGCCTCTATTCAAGGCAGGTTTAATGATCCTAAGAAATTTTAAGGAAACTAGAAAACTCATATTTTTCTTTACCCCTTCTGCCTTCCTTGGTGATTTGGAGAAGCTGCAACCACAAAAGAATTGTGTTAGTATTCTGGGTTAGAGAATTAGGACATTTTACTACTTGAATGGGCCTCAGATAGCTTTTTTAAAAAAGTTTTTTAAATAATATAGAATCTGTATTCCAGTTTGGTGGGATATATTACCCAAAGCCACGTGGCTGTCTTGTGACAGATACTGTACTAGAATTCAAGTCACCTGACTCCTAGGCCAGATTCATTCACTGTGCTAGGTGTTGGTTCTCTCATATTATTATCCTTCTTTTGATCTGATTTCTCTCATGCCATGTGTCGATAAAGCTGGAAGTCTGAGATGATCTGTTTTCAAGAAACTAAGTTCTCAATGTAGAGCTGCTTTTGGTGGTGGTGGTGGCAGTGTATGCGTTCAATTTGAGGGAAAATTTACCAGGTCAATAGTAAACATATTTCCACATATTTTTAAAGCAATCAGTGAGCTGGCCTTTTAAAATTTCATCTATGTTGAAATACCCCTCTGCGGAGGTAAGGAAGTGGACATTGAGGTATTAAGCCTGTCCTTCAGCCAAGCACTGAGGGCCCAACTGTTAGAATTAAAGGAAAAAAAAAATTTCAATTGTATTAATATATTTACAAAGAAAAGTGATAAGTAAAAGCAGTGCCCATGCCTCCATTCCATCTGTGTTCACCTGCCTTTCCTGCTTCCTTGCTAGAGGTGGGGGTCTGAGCACATGGGATAAAGTGAGCTCTGAGGAAGGCACAAAAGACAAGGAATAAGACTAATGAATTCTCCCCTGATCACGCCTTCTTGATATTTGGGAGACGTGAACCAAGGAGATTAAGTATTGATTTTAATGTATAAAGTGTTAGTCGTTAGCTTGTAAAAAATATTGCTTTAGCTAGTCTCTGAATATAATTGTGTGTCATATGTAGCCCATAGGTTTTATTTATTTAGTAAACACATGATGTTTGGTTCTCATCATGAGCTAGGAGGAAGAAAGGAACTATTAGTGTTCTAATTTTCCAAATAAGGAAACCGAGGTGCAGAGAGGCTGAGTAACTTGCTCAAGGTCACACAGATGGTGAGTGGCATGCTCAGCCCTCAAACACAGGCAGTCAGCCTCCAGAGCCCGTGCTCTTCCTGGATTGTGCTGAACTGGACCAAGTGATAATGATTTCATGGTAGATCTAGAACAAGACCAGATATGTTCAACAAAACAAAAATGTATTTGCTTTGGTATTGCCTCGATTTCCTTTTAAATCCTTTTCTGTTTCAACATCTGTCTTTACTTTGTCATTAAAGATTATTTCAGTGGCAGTATTGGACGGTGATTTTTTCTGAACACAGGATGACATTGTTCTCGGCTGAATTGCTCTTTTAAAGAAAGGTGAGAGAGGTGGGGAAAGCTGACTGGGGTGTTGTAGCACTTAGTTCTTTCCCTCAGAAATGCCTTCCAGGCTTGGACTCAGCCGTCCTTTGGTGGCCAGAGGGACATTGTTCATCCCTGTTACTCTCCCTACTCAAGTCAAAGAAGAAAATATTCCAAATCTATAATATTCTAGTATCCAGTTGGGAAAGACTTTTTTTTTTTTTTTTGAGTGCCTATTTGTCTTTAAAAGTATTAAATACCTTTGTGACATCAAGCAGCTCACTCTGTGTAAGGTGAAACAGCCTCTTAAAATCTTGGAATAAATCTGGACGGACTATTAGGTTGCCACAAATGTAATTAAGGTTTTTGTCATTACTTTCAATGGCAAACTGCAATTACTTTTGCACCAGCCTAATACATTCTCCCAGGTGCTCTGCCTGCCTGTTGATCAGTGAGCCACATGTCAGCCAGAAACAGCTCACCCTACGCATGGAACACAATATTTTAATGAAGAAGCAAAGAGAAGCATCCCCTCCCTGTGTGGTCCAGCTACATGGCACTCAGGCTGACCAGGGGTCAGTGGTGCTGTGTGAAGTCCTGTCACATGGCTCCAAAATTAGAAAGGATAATTAGAGACTTACAGTTACACCCGTTTCAATGGGTTCCTTTGTGTCTGGGTGCTTCTCGCTCGCAGGCTTATCAGCAGATGACCACAACTCCAATCAGTAAGTTCTTAAGGCACAAATGTTGTCACTGTGACCATCAACAGAGCTGAATATTGTGCATTTCCATTGAGCTTGGGTTTGGACAGGAGAAAAAGAAATAGCAAATACAGTGACATGGCAGAAACTTGTTTTTTTGGTTCCCTGAAATATATGAAGCTGGTTTTTGAGATACCCTTTGTAGTGTGATAGATCTATTTTATATCTTAGCTTCCTAGTTTTCCTTTCAGATCTTGCTCAGGATACCAACGGTACGGCGGAACAGGTGAATTACATCTGCGTGCAGCTGATCTGCCTGAGGGAAGCACTTCAGTCTGTCTTCAGCTCACTCTGAATTTAATATTTGTGGGGACTTTTTTGCCTTATTCTTATTTTTTTCTCCCCTTTCTCAAATGGAATGCAGTGTTTGGAAATTATTCTCTTTCTTCCTCAGTTTTTCTCTATCCATATTGTTTGTCCACTTAGGAAGAATTCATGTGAAAGAAGAAGTAGAAATTTGTGGAAATGCTATTGGAAAAATTGTTTCAGCATCCCAGTTTAAACTTGAAGCCACTTTAATATAATATATAAATATAAAAGAATAAATTAAAAATAATGTGACATTAGTGAAGCTGGTGACAGAGAACAACATTTTGATGTTGTGAAATTGGAGAGA